TTACTTTTCCATTGTTCAAACTGCTTGACATACAATTCAAGTTGTTTATGTGTGAAATCCTCAACTTTTCCCACGGGTTTTTGGTATTAACCCTTCTTGTTTCAATGTCTCTCAATACATAACACTTTCTTATGTCTTAACAAAACTTTCTTCCATTTTACCACAGCAATGACAAATATTATCACATATATAGTTTTGTGTATGTCTTATTAGTATAAAAGTCTCTCTGAGAACAATGCATGTTTGTCATTCCTTTTCTTTTCAGTGATTCTGTTCTGTCCATCAACAACAGTGTTATTATATCATGGATATAATAATACCCATAACTGCAGAAATATAAATGAGAGAATCTTTCTTCCAAGCTCTGCTGTTACTTTTTTTTGGTGGAGAGGTACCACTCTGTAGGGATTGTAATTAGTGCATTCTAAGCCCCACTGACAAGATAAAAAAGAAACTAGATAATTCAGATTGTGATTAAATTGAATTTCCAAACAAAACCCCAGATTAGCTTTATCATTGAAATGAGTCCATTGAATACGTCTAATCAGATTTATCTTCCAATCATCCTTCTTCTCTTTCCCTCTTTATGCTCCGGCAAAGCTCAATGAGCAACACTTTCCACATTGTCAATTTTGAAATACAATTTTCTTTTGTAACAAGACATAGACACTCATTAATGACAATTGATATTTACTACCAACCCTTTTCGGTTTTAAATGCTGTACCCTTTCTGTCCAGGAGCAGGATGGACACACTTTCAAATAAATATAGACTTTCGTTTTCGTAGCCTTTTATTTAAAAAATAAATCATATGTGAAATGTGGTTGTAGTAGTTGGCACGTGCTCAAATCCAAGCATCAAGATCGATGTCTTCTCTCCTTTCTCCCTTCTGGTTGTAGCAGAGATGGCTGTGAAGGCCCAGCCTATTCCTGAAGAGTTATCAAAGAAAGTTTGATGAGGCCATTTGAGTGAATTTGATTTTGGTGGACAACTCTGTGTGATGAAGAATCCCACACACTTGGCCTGAAATTCCTACCCAACAGCTCAAAGGGGATTGAGACAGGCAAGATCCAGCAAATCTGGTTGCATCAGGCTGTCGGATGATTGCTCTGTCAAGGTCCACCTTGGTTACATCAACCCAGTTGGTGTTGTCCTTTCCACCAGTTTGGTGGTTGAGATCATGTAGATCTTTGCTTATTCCACTGTTGGGTTCTTTGGAGGTTGATTGCACTCTGGTCCCTCCTCCTTGACCTTATGACCTCCAGCTGGCTTTGCTCTTGGGATCACTGAAACATGCAAGCCCTCTACTATGACAAGGAATGACCATCTATATTTTAGACTTGATGACAGAGTGAACAGTTTGTTATCAAATGTATCATTTTGACTCTTTACTTTAATGACAATAGTAGAAGCAATTCTATGAAATGAATGTAAGGTAATCTTGAAGCCACTTTAATGTGTTTATAATGAAAACATCTTTTACATGGTTGTGCTTTTATTTTTTGCTTTTTTTTATCCATTATGGATAGCTGAATCAAATGAAGTTACAAATGGGGCAGATTTAAACAGAATTATTTTAAATAATCTTTAAAAGATTTTTTTATACCAGCATTTTTTTTTAAATCTAGACATTATTCTCTTGTGAAAATACATTCTACCCAAATACTTCCTATGGTAATTTTTAAAGAAAAAACTGAATCATTTTTATATAAAATCAAAGGAAGGTAAGATATGGGTACATGTGTATGTATTTGTCTTCATAAAATCTGTCAGATTTGTACAAAAAAATGTTATGTGTGTGTGTATACCAAACAAAATGTGTATGAACATAAGAGAAATCAATCCATTTTTGTCATTTATTTTTTTATAAAACAATTCAATTGTTAACCAAAGTTGTTTTTTGTTTTTTGTTTTTTTTTAATCTTGAAAATAAAGAAAATCCATTGTTTTATGTTCAAGAAAAGTTAAAGGATATACAAGCGTGTATAATTTAGTTTAAAAATTTTTTAATTCCTGTCTTCTTTGGATCTGACAATTACTTTCTATTTCTTTTTTTTTATTTCCGACTTCCATAAAGATCAAAGAAAATGCTTTCAAAGCTAACTTTTTGTTTTCAATCCATAAGCATGTGATCAATGTAGAATTTCTAGTTAGTAATGAGCTTCAAAAGCTTCACCTGTAATTTTACATTTGTATATATATTGCGTTCAAACATAAAACAGACTGTCACCATTTGATGTTGATCTCTATATCCACACTGCTTATATGATATATGCTTTTTTTTAATTTATGATGGAACTTTTGAGAGGAAAAAATATTGTTATTTCCATTCACCTCTTATCCCCAGCTATACTCGCATTGTTTTGGCCAGATTTTTGAGATGACAAATTAACTAAACTCTCCCAGTTTTTTATCTACTGGATAAAAACATTGGTCAAAGTAATCCAGTGACTTGACAGTTGTAAGTTCAATACCAGGCCACAGCAGAGGTGGACAAAAAACTTGGAGAGTTGAGTTACTAAAGGGAAATAACTGAAACTAAGAAATCCAGAAAAGGCATGGTACATAGAAGTAGAACAATTTTCCTTGGTGGAAGAAATAAAGGGTTCAATATGAATTTCCAGTCATCTGAAGAAGCCTGGAGCATACAATAGCCAAAACATTGTGAATATGACAACAAAGATGAGGACAACAGTCCGAACAATGTAAATAGCCCCATCTCAAAAATATAAACAGATAGTGAAGAAATTTAATATTTATGTGATCATTTTTTTATGAAAAAATGTATCAGTTTTTGTCGTTTTGGCTGGCCTCATGTTTTTCTGCTGCAAGATTTAAATTTCTGAAGCTGGATTCAAGTAGATATATTTGTAACAAGAAGCTTCCAATTGAATGACTAACCATCTTAAACATTTGTCAAACATAATCATTACATCAGTGTTTCAAATTGGGTATTGGAAATGTTAAACTTCAACACAGCATCATCATCATCATCATCCTTGTCTGAGATGAAATATTAGAATTGGTTTAGTTTGGATAATAGAAACTTGTTCAAATGATTTCAATTTTTCTCTTCATTTCACGTCTTCTGGTTAATCAAAGTCTGGAAAAATACTATCTTCACTTCACAAGAGTAGATTGTTCTTCTTCCACTTTCCATGTATAGGAGATTTTTCATATCTGTTTATTCATATATGTCAAGGAAATATTGTATTTAGACTAAATATTTTTTTTTTAAAAAAAGTACTGAAAAGATAATTGAATGACAAAATGGGTAAAAACTCTTATATTATGCATTTTGTCCTTCTTCAGACATCTTCAGATTAATAAGGTTTTTTATTGATGGAATCATATATATTTAGCAGGAGAAAACAAAATACAGCAAATGCTGGTTATAATTCTACATCAAGAAACACTGAAGATACAGAAACATATAGCTTTAAATTTTTGGTGTTCAATGAATCATATATTGACTAACCAACCCTGTTCAGCTTTCTACTGCTTATGTTTTCAATTTTATTGTTTTTAATTATCCCACATTAAATATCTCTAAAAAAAAAAAAGTATAGATAAATAAAATAAAAAATAACAGAAAAAATTGAAATAGAACTAATGATTAATTAAGCTGATGAATATAAAAATTTATGAAATGGACAAAGTCCAACAATTATTTTTTAAGACATTTTTTATGTTTATACGTTCTTTTTATAGATACAAATATTTAAGTAAATGCTCTGCTTATAATAAACAGTATTAACAACATTTACCAGCCTGAATGTCTGAGAAAATTTTCATAGAAAAATAATTTCACACTGGCTCCTAAAAATCTTTTTCTCAAATTTATAGGATTGATGAAAGGAGTTATTGTTATTTTCTAAATGGTCCAAAAATAACTCATGGTAGGTCTACAACTACACCTGCAAGTATTTTGGCAGTATTTGCCCTGGTAATTATTGTTCATCAAAGAAACCTTCTGATGGAATTTTATTGGCTAAAAAAATATATATTGAATTTAATTCCTATATCTATGTTGCTTTAGATTTTTTTTTCTCTAAGGAAATTGTCCAGTATTTACTGCCATACTGGAGGATATGGTTTTCTTTTCTGAAAATATAAGTTTCAAGATCTACTCAAGGTAGAAGGTTACTGAACAAGGTATTTGTATGGACATAAGAGGAAAAAGTGAATGTAAATTATGAGGATATCTAAGATAGATAATGGTTAACCTTTTAACTTGAAGAGGTTAAGATTGTAGTGTTCAGAAAAATATCCTCTTGGGTCTGTTTCACAAAGTAGCAGTTCTTGGGAAGAAGCTATCTGCTTGGAATTTCCTTCTTAACAATGGAATCCAAAAGAAATGAGGATGATTCAACTCTGTGTACATGTTTCAGTCAATTTATGAAAAAGATATGGTTAGTCAAATATCTCTAAACTAGAAAAAGTGCAGCTAGAACATTTTTAATTTTGTGTAAAAGAATTGTTTTTTATTTTATCAGATTTATTGACAGAAAGATATTAATAAATAGACACTTGTAATTAGATTCATTTTTTTTTCTTTTTTATTTTATCAGATTTATTGACAGAAAGATATTAATAAATAGACACTTGTAATTAGATTCATTTTTTTCTTTTTTATTTTATCAGATTTATTGACAGAAATCTATTAATAAATAGACACTTGTAATTAGATACATTTTTTCTTTTTTATTTTTTCAGATTTATTGACAGAAATCTATTAATAATTAGACACTTGTAATTAGATTCATTTTTTTCTTTTTTATTTCATCAGATTTATTGACAGAAATCTATTAATAAATACACTTGTAATTAGATTCGTTTTTTATTTTATCAGATTTATTGACAGAAAGATATTAATAAATAGACACTTGTAATTAGATACATTTTTTTCTTTTTTATTTTATCAGATTTATTGACAGAAAGATATTAATAAATAGACAATTGTAATTAGATTCATTTTTTTTTCTTTTATATTTTTTCAGACTCCTCTTGGGATGTGATTATGTCTGAAAATCTGCAAAACCGGATTTCATCTTCTGAATTTGAACATAAGGTTACATCTCCAAAACTACCTGAACAACACAATATGGATGTTACTTCACTGGTAATCTTCATTTAATTCTTATTACCTCAGTTCTTGCCACCTATTATTACTTTTTTAATGTATTTGTAGGACTAGATAAAAAACAACCCTCCTCTATTTGATCAAATTTATCACAAAATATTTGGTATATGAACCTCAGTAAACATTCAGATTTATTCAAGAATACAATTAGGAAATCAAATAGAAAAAAAATGTTATTACCATAAGCCATTCCATTCAAACCAGCATTCTCATTTTGTTATATTCCCAGCATTGTAACCTATGTCTTTCGTCATAAATAAATGAAAGAAGCTGACAAGTGTGACAGAGGCAAACAGACTAAAGAGAATTAAATTGAAAGAAAATAAGGATAGAAAGTAGAATTCAAACAATTCACCCTAATGAATTGAATAAAGAGTTTTGGTTGAAATTTCCAAGATTACTCAGTACAGTAGATACATGAAGAAGTTTTGAAAGTATTCAATATAACAACAAAGATGAGAATGCAATTTGAAATAGAAGGACATGTAGTAATGACGATTTCTAATGTCAAAAAGGTGAATGTGTGGGTGGTGATAGCAGTTCGCAGTGGTAAATCAGAAAACAGTTTTCAAATTCTAATCAATTACACTTACATGCAAATACCCTTGAGAAAGGTGTGAATTCATCTCTTTTCTGCCCAGCTATGAGTTAAATACTAAGATTTGTATCTGTAAAAATCATTATCCACACAAAACTATTAATGCAATATTCCTCACAAAAAAATTATTCTTAGAATTAAAATTATTATCATAGTGGGAAATCAGAAAACAGTGTTCAAATTCCAGTCAATTTAACTTACACACAAATACCCTTGGAAAAATTGTGAATTCATCTCTTTTCCCCATAGCTATGGGTTAAATAGTAAGATTTGTATCCTGAAATTATCCACACAAAACTGTTAATACAATGTTCTTTGCAGAACATAAAAAATATTCTTGAAAAATCAGAAAACAGTGTTCAAATTCCAGTCAATTTCATTTACATGCAAACAACCTTGGGAAAGGTATGAACTCATCTCTTCTTCTGCTAGCTATGGGTTAAATAGTAAGATTTGTATCCTGAAAAATTATTATTCACACAAAACTCTTAATGCAATATTCCTCACAAAAAAAAAAGAAAATTATTCTCCCAGTTGGAAATCCGAAAACAGTGTTCAAATTCAAGTCAATTTCACTTACATGCAAATACCCTCGGGAAAGGTATGAATTCATCTCTTCTTCCCCTAGCTATGGGTTAAGAAGTACAATTTGTATCTGGAATAATCATAATCTCCACAAAATTGTTAATGCAATATTACAAAAAAATATTATTCTTACTATCTATATGTTTCAGCTTTAACTTACAATGTGTTGATAAGCTATAAAAAAAAGTCAATTGATCAAGCATCTCAAATTTTCTTGTCATCAATAAGATAATTGAAGGTATTAAGTATAACAATGAAGATGAGAATGCTTGTTCAAATAGAAAGATATATAATAATGATCTTTCCTCATGTCAAAAATTCTTGACATCAGTTAATAAAGTTTTGAAGGTTTTGAGTATCACAACCAAGATGAGAATGCTTGTTCAAATATAAAGACATATCATAATTCCTCATCTCAAAAATTCTTGACATCAATCAAAATAGTTACTAAGTTACTTTCATTATATAAAGAATTATGCAAACTAAAGGATATTTTTTCTTTGCATTTTAAGGTCAGTTTCTTCTTTCATATTATTTTTTCTTGATAAACTGAAACATTTGAAAAAAGATTTTCTTCATTTTTGCTCATTACTATTCATAGTTGAAGAAAAGGTTATGTGTTATGAATAAAAATTTATATAATTTCTTTTATTTTTTTTACCAATTTTATGAATAAAACATTCAGGAAAGTTATGCTGCATAAATAATACTAAAAACAACCTACTTTTTTTTTTTGCTAAACACTGTGGGCAATAACAAGAGATGTATCTATTGACTGTGGCTTTGAACTTTTTTTATATTTGTTTCTTCATGGCTTGAAAGTTCATTTGAAAGCAATAAACATTCCTTTCAAGTAATGCCAGAAGCACTAAATAGCAAGCAGCAGGCTGTAATTAATATAGTTCTCAGAATTTTATTATTAGAACCTACCATACAACTTAAAAGAAAATTTTTCTTAAGGATTCATCTACTTTTTAAAATACTGTATAAAACGTGTTCTTTTGTCACAAGTTTTCAATCTAAATTTATTCCTTTTTAATAGTCTTAAAATATTTACATTTACATTATTTTTTTTCAATTTTCAACTTAAAAGTAAGCCTTATCAGAAATAATTACTTTAAAAATAGATATAAAAAATTGTTTTTTATACATATATATAGTGAATAGGTAGAATAAAAAGTGTGAATAAATATAATTGTCTGTTTATATTTCTGAGATGAGGTATTGTAGCTATTTACATTGGTTGGTCTATTGTCCTCATCATTATTGCCATATTCATAATGTTTCGGCTGTTGTACACACCAGCCTTCTACAGATGATATCCATTGGAATTTCAGACTGAACACTTTACCTGAAACTGAGATATCCAGAAAAGCACAGCACGTGGAACTAGAGCACTCTACCCCAGTAGACTAAATAAAGAGTTCAGTTCAGTATTCCAACATATAGTGGAAATACAATTGTATTTCATTTATTGCAAATCATTTTAACAGGTCATGAATGATTTTTGTTTTCAAGATACTGTGAAAATGGCATACATTAATAAAATATCAAACATGGCATCGGAGATATTTTAGCATTTTGTAAAGGAACCAAATAATTTCTACTTGAATTTAAAAATAAGTACAAATTTCTACTTAAAATTAATAATTTCTACTTTTTAATAATTCAATTTTAACTTGTAAACAAAATGCTAAACCTTCTCAGTTGATTTGTCAGTTGCCTCACATTTGTGCTGCCTTGCCTGAGGCAAGGTGGCACAAATTCAAAATTTGACAGTTAATATTCATGTCGATTAATTATTTTCTTCAACTGTGGAGAAATGACACTGACCCTCAAACAAAGTGGTCAGTTATTCAAAACAATACATTCTTCGACAACAATAATTTTTCTGATCAACTTTTGTGTTTAAAAATTATTTTTCTACTTTTCTGATGTTAAAGAATTTTCTTTGTTGTCAACTTTCCTATATGACCAAAATAAGTTTCAGTCCATTTTTTAAAACAACACTCCAGATTGTTTATATTCCAGCTTTCCAGATTCATAACAATTCTATTTGCACATCAGTTTATTAGGAAAAAAAAACATTTCTCTTTTTCCCTTGCTCCATATTTCAATTCATGTTTTCACCTTAAAGATTTTAATGTTTTTTTTAACCCTTCCAATTCTCATAAGGGGTTTTCACATGAACCCTTTTAATCCTAATTTCATACTACCAGTGTCATAATAGTGTCACAAAGAAAGCCATGAGGCTGCAAAGTTTTACCTTATTCTCAATACCTGCCAAATATATCACTTTCAAATTTGCTTCAATTACTTAAACATTTTTGTAATGTAATAACAGGACGTTCAGAAATGAAAGAGACATCAGTTCAGGTGTTTTAATTTTCTTTCATTTAAAATTTACAGAATTTTGTCTAAAGAATGGAAATATTGCCTTCATGTTGTGCAAAACATAATTGCTAATGGCAACCATTATGTCACTGATTAATAAAATTCCACTTAATTACATTTGTACCCATAGCCTTCTTTCCAAACAATATTAATAATAATAACATTATCTTGAACTTAATTGCATGAAGCATTGTCAAGCATTATTAATTTTTGACTAGTATTCCTTTCATCATAATTTTACTTGCTTTATTCACACTACTCTCATTAGTAGTAATAACTTAAATTTTTACTTGGAGTAGGATTGTCAACTATTATTAATTCTTGACTTGTATTTCTTCGGATTCTATGATCATTTGTGTGCAGATCAGAAATAATGAATTAGCTGTCAGTGAGAAGTGAACTTGCATCCTTTTTATCTGAACCTGTTTTACTGTGATAGCTGCTTTTATCAAACAAGACAAAAGAGATGTAAGTTCAACTCCCACTGAAATTTTATTCATTAACTTCATTTCATCATATTTATTACTAGGTTGTTTGGAAAATAATGTCCAATTTTAGAATAAACCTTTTAATGGTGTTCCAATAATAGTTGCATAAAAATATATCTCTCAAGATTAAAGTGTTCTTTTTCTTAATTTTATATTAATCTTTTTTGGATTTTAACTTAACATGTCATACACCCCTCATCTTGAAGATGAAAAAAGAAAAGATGCATCTGCTTTTTTCACATGAGTTCATGCTTGGTCATAATGTGTCTCAAACTTCTACCAATATTAACAGAGCATGGAATGAAGGATCCACTTGTGATCAGACAATACAGCATTGGTTTCTGAAGTTCCACATTGAAAATATGTGTCTTGACAAGAGGAATAATTTTTACAAGCAATATATATTTTTAGCATCTTTGATAATGGCACCTGTACCTTTTTTTATTTTCTACTTTTTTTAATAAAGGTCATTAGTTACTGAACAAGACCATTTTTCCTGTGTAATCAAAATCTACAATTTTTATATTCTCTATTAAAAAAAACAAAAACTAAAAAAAAAAAATCGTCTTATTTACTTCAACCCATTTTTCATACAAAACAGACTTAGATTTTCTTTGGATTATAAATATTCTATCTGATCTCATTCTGGCAGCTGACAATAAAAGTCATCACTGCTTTCGATGCAAGGATTTCCTGTGTCATTCTAACCTTGATTTAATGTAATTTTGAATTGCAATTTAAAAGAAGCAAATTTGATTCTCACTTGCATATTTAAAATTCTTGAATTAATATTTTCTGTTGTTTCATTTTGATAGTATTAAACTTGAGTAGATTTTTGTTTTGTTTTTTATGCTTTTTGTTTCTTTAAGGTATTAGTTTTGTAAAAGAATCTGTTTTATCATTTATATCTGTAAAAGAATCTGTTTTATTATCATTTATATCTTTTTCAATATTTGCACATCTCTTCTTTTTGTCTTTTTTCAATTTTAATACTTGTGTAGGACACATGTAATTTCTGAAAACACAGTCCTTTCAATAGAAATTAGAACATTATATGATTGAAGGTATTTGTACTTATGGCTTTTATTTTATTTGATTTTTATCAGTTTTCCACTTCTTTTGTTACTTTATAAGTTTAATTTACATAAAACTGACTTACTTTCTGATTTTGTTGCAGCCAAACATTTTCTTATTCCAAGCACTTATACATTGCATGATCCACATGTCCAAATAGGACATGGTATTCCCAAGGGGTCACATTTCTGGATACTATATATATATATATATATAGTTTTAAGGTATGCTATATTTATGTGTTAAAGTAGTCAATATCAGGAATAGAGCTAACATAAATATAATATTGGGCAATGAGGTCAACACCGAGAGACAACAGTCTGTTTCATGCTTGAATGCAATCTTCAGGCCATCTAATCCACAAAGTTAAACAATGTGAAGCCTGGTCAGTATCTAGATGGGTGACCACTTGGGAATACCAGCTGCTGTAAGCTTTGATGTGTGGGTGGTGCAATGGCTCGGAATCAGAAATTGGTGAGCCGATTTCTAATTTCAATCAGGTTCGTTATATTCACTTACACACAAATACCCTCCGCCCACCTCTTCTCCCTCAGTTATGGGTTAAATATTATGACTTATGTCAAAGAATCATTATTATCTCCCAAAAAATTCTTACAATCTGTTGTGTATGATACACCTAATTTACATAAGCGGACTACCGACCATATAAATATGGGTTGGTACCGGAAGACGGGGAAGATAGTAGAGATTAAGAAATTGAATCCAGAGACTCTGCCCGACTGCGATTTAGTCAACCCATTATGCAGGAACAGTCTTCCCAAGAATATACCAAACTAACTGTAAATATTGTGTACCTATTCTTTGTTTCAATACATTTTGTTAACGTACATTTTGTGTTGTATTATTCCATGCTTATTTAAGCTTCAACACAATCCCAAAATATTTACTAGCTTTAAAAAAAATTGTTAAGCTGTAAAAAACAAATCAATCATACACACATGCACACTTCTTACATGATAATTCTCTAAAGTAATTCTTCCCAGATATATTTAGGCATCAAGAATTGTGTTTATGTTTACAAATTTGTTTATAAGAATATTATGAATATACAGGGGTGACAAACAAAATAAATTACTTCCTTTTTAATTCAATATTTTTTTCTATAGTTTTCAGGTTTAATTTCAAGTGTTTTTTTTTTTGTTTCTTTTTTAATTTTCTTAAGTCCAGTTAACTAATTATGATATTCTTAACTCTCTTTTTAATTCTGCAAGAAGTATCTACCAAGTGAATCCGCAAATGCCTACTCCAGTATACCTGAGTATTCTCACTCTCTCATGGTTGACATAAACATGGACAAGTTATCTGACTGGAACAAATACCAACTTCAGATTAAACAGCTTCGCCAGGATTTAGAATCTGAACGAGGTGAGTTATTTACATGCTATGCAAATGATTTTTCAAGATATATACATATAATAATTGTTTTTTTAAAAATTATATAATCATTGCAACTCCAAATTCCCATGTTTCAAAAGTGAAAATTCAATTCAAATTCAGTCATAAAAATTAAACTTAAAACCTATGATATTATGCTCTATGGTTGTATCGAACACTGTTTTTTTTAAAATAAAAATAAATGCTAAGAATTCTGAATTATAAATCTCATTGTTCTTTCCTATTATTTATATATATATATATATATATATATATATTCAATGAAAAAACAGACCACTTTAAGGTACCATTACAATAATTTATTTCACCAATATCCTTTTTAAAGGACACTGGATCATCAGGAAACACTTCCAACAACGAAATGAAAGGAAAAATGGGATTAGAAATTGATGGGTAGTGTAATTTTTGTAATTTAACAGGGAGGGTGATAGTTGTAGTTAACGAGACAAGGTATGAAATTAACCCCTCCCTATACTCTACCTTGTCTCGTTAACTACAACTATCACCCACCCTTTTAAATTTCAAAAATTACACTACCCATCAATTTCTAATCCCATTTTTCCTTTTATTTCGTTGTTGGAAGTGTTACCTGATGATCCGAGTCTTTAAAAAGGATTTTGGTGAAATAAATTATTGTAATGGTACCTTAAAGTGGTCTGTTTTTTTTTCATTAAATATTAGCTCTGTATTCACATTGAGCTCTCGGGATTTCATCCTCCTTGGAATTACCCATTTGGTTTACCAAGTTCTTTGTAACTTATATATATATATATATATATATATATATATATATATGTGTGTATGTATATATATATATATATACACACACATACATATCATATACACACACACATATATATATATATATATATATATATATATATATATATATATATATATATATATACATATACACACACACACACACACACATATATATATATATATATATATGTATATATGGGTGTGTGTGTATATATGATATGTATGTGTGTATGTGGGTACACGCCTATGTGTATGTATATACATGTGTATGTTATTGTGTGTATTCGCATGTGTTTTTGAACATAGAAATATAGGTCCTTGCTGGATTAGATAATCGTTATATTTATCTTTATATATTTATATTTGATTTGTAACCTGTAGTCGATATTAAATTTGTCAAATTTTCTCAATTACAAAGCGGCCCTTTAAGTAAACGCAATTTTACTTTCCTTCGTCCCATCTCTCTCCCCCACCTCGTCTTTCCCTCCCTCTTATTCTAACATTAGATTGTCTATGGTGTGTGTATGTCACCACGAAATGTATCTTTATGCATTAGACATCCGTCAACATTCATTTTTTTCTCTTAATTAAACCTCTTCCACCCATCTCTCCTAAAATTCTCTCTGTTAAGGTTTAATCTCCCTCCTCCTCATACTTACACTCTCTCTAAATTCTGTTTTTATTTCCGGAGTTGTTTTTTTCTGTTTTTTTTTGAATTTGTAGGTCTGATGAATTGGATCAGTATTTACGATTCCAATGGAATAAATTATGACCATGGAATATTAGTGTTTAAGCCTTTGTATTATATATATATATATATATATATATATATATATATATATGTTTCTGAAGCTTTCTTAATTCAGGGGCACTTTAAGTTTTAATAAGGAAAAATTAATTATGAAATTTGAAAATAGGAAAATAAGAAAGATGTCTCCTGAAATAAGCATTTATTTTTAAGACATTACATACACTTTGTGTCTTTAGTTTTTTAAAAGTAAAGATATTTAGATATAAAAATAATCCATAAATTACTCCTCGATTCACTTGGGGTGCACCTGGCTACATTTCAGGGTGCATTAATGTACACTGATTGAGAAATGCTGATATATATCAAATTCAGAGATAAAAATGTATCTGCAAAGACAATAAAAGAAATGGCAAGGGAAATATTTTATGTTGACACATTTCATTACTTAAGGAACTTTATCAAGGCAAATGTCGAAATTTTATATCCTCCTTAAAAGAAACACTCATTTCTGAAGCAAACATTTATGTATGTCTAAAACAAATTTTAAATGATAAAAAACAGTGCGTTTTTTTTTTAAATTAATTAAATAAGCAAAATAAAATAATTAAAAAAAATAATTACATAAAAAAAATCAACAGCTTCAACATTACCCCTAGAACACTAACCATCAATTAAAGTTACACCACTAATAACCATGGGTATATCATACCCAGTTTTGAAAATATCAAAACAAATATTAAATATAAATCTTTATTTGAATTATTTTACATGCAGGCACTTCAAATTGTGTACTTTGAGTTAACATTAATAGGAACTGAAAAACATTATTTAGGTAAGAAAATCAGGTACTTAAAATTGTAATTAAAAATAGGAAAAATTGTACTGGGTACTATATACCCATGGTTAGTGTTTTAGGGTTAATTCGTTTTTGTTTTACATAATGGGGTGTTATACAAGAAGTGAACATTCCAAGTTTGCATTTCCCCATTACAGGCATTATTATATCCATGATATAGTAACACCTTAATACCACAGACAGCACAGAATAGGTGAATGCAAAAAAATGACAAACGTGTATGGTTCTCAAAGAGTTTTTTTTTTATACTGATATATGCATATTTATCACTAATTTTTCTCATAAAAAGAAATTATAACTCATGTATACAATAAGCAAAGTGAAAGGGTTGAAGAGAGAGAGGGTCTTGTTTGTAATATTTCCTAACAAGAAAACAGGCAGCTGGTAGTGTCCTCTTTTTCTGTATGCCTTACCACTTTGTGCTTGTGATGTCCATCTTCACTGCAGCTTACATAGCAATTTTGTTTGACACTCTAACACTTAACATCTCTTATTGACTGTCACAACTCTCATGATTTCTTAATAATTAATTAATTTTCAAATTTTGTAGATAGTGTCAGAGTGTAGGATTATGAATTCTGTGTTGTTGATGTTAGAAGTGTTATCGGCAGTGTTTAGTTGCTTTCTTTTTAGCACTTGTAATATCAACAACATAAAATTCATAATACTACCTTCTAACACTATCTACAAAATTTGGAAGTAAGTTAGTTATCCATAATACTAGGTTTTTTACCATCATCTCCAAGACAATTGGGGATATAATTAGAAAGAAAAATAAAGCTAACATCCATTCAGATAGCAGTACTTATCAAATAAATTGCATTCAACTTAAAAACACTTACATCACCAAAACATCTTGGAATCTTAAAGCCTATATCTACAAGCATAAAAGGGAGCTATGTTGGGGCAACTGTTTAAACTTGCTTGTAATACACAGGAACAAAATTGTCCATAACTTTGATTTTACTAATGCCACCCTAATTAAAAAAAGGACGTAATTCTTTAAATTGAAAATAAATTCAAGAGAATTCTGATAAATATTTTACCAATTATAAAACACACATCAAAAAACATTATATTACATCACCAGTGTTTATTTAATTAATTCTTAAAGAATCTTATATATGTTTATCTACTACTACTAGTGTTTACATAAAAACATCCTCCAATCAACATGCAGACAACCACAAAATGTAAATAACGTCTACTAGATATATACACACACACACTTACAAATATAAATTATCATCCTAATTCCACACAGACAAACTATAATTATGATACAATTACATACATAAAGCAATATTTATGATTTTACAGTTTGACTTGGAATCTTAATTTTTTGAACTTCAAAAGAATATGTCATCACTCCTTGAGTTCGGAACACCATAAATTATTTTAACTTTGCTTAACAAACCAAATGCATATGAAACTGTTTAACCAATGTGTTAATCCTCAATGGATTAATTGCATCTGCAATAAGTTAATCCTCCTTTTACTCTGAATATTGACAACTGAACAGTTAAAACATTTTCAATATGACTGCCAGCATTTTATAGAAGCCACCACCTTGTGGCACTAAACAACAACCAAAAGGCAAAGGTAATAACTACAACATTAATACTTCCCCCCCCATTTTTTAGAGGCACCTGCTTGCCTCTAAATAACACAGGTAACAAAGAAATTTTATGAGTCCTAAATCAAATATTCTTTGGGCTCCATAATATGTCTAAGAATCTTGAATGAGGGAACACCTCACCTGTCAGTGAGTCAGCTTCTTGTTTCTTCTGGAACAGGTTGAAAGATATCTTCATCATCATTATATTGCTCTGGAGAGGAAGGATAAAGAGTTTGCAGAGAATTATTTTGTTGTTTGTTGTAATTTGAAGTAACACTAGAGTTTGAACAGGAATCGTAACCAGCATTTGGATCTTTAACCAAGCAACAAGTTTGAATTATGACGTATGTACCCCCCATGACAAACTAACACTAGTTTCCCATCACATCCAATCACAATCCCCGGCACATGCCATTCTTGACTATCATTCCTTCTGTAGAATACTTGATCTCCATTTCTTAAATTTTATATATTAGCATCTCAGATATTATTCATTAATGCTGTTCTTATTATTTCATTAGATTCAAGCTTTACAAATTCCTGTCTAACCAGATGCAATTCATTCAAATTTTTCCTCACTATAATAGATGTAGTGATAGGTTTTAATGCTGGAAGATTATTGTGGAAGATATCTGGAACAGCTGGATTAAAACCAAAAAGAAACTGATTAGGGGAAAAACCAAAATTGTTGACATGTGCATTGCAAGCCGAAATAGGCCACACCAGAGCAACATCCAAACCACACCGAGAATCTGCAATAATTTTATTTACCATGTTAACAATAACATCATTAAGTCTCTTGCATACACCATTGCTCCAAGGACATTCTGCTGCTGTTGTCATCATTGTCATGTTGAAGGCTTCACCCAACTCCCACATTTCACTGTTGTTGAATTCACACTCATTGTCAGATAGTATTTTTTTGAATAGTTATCCAACTGGAGAAGAATCCTCCAATAACAGTGGAAGCCATTTTGTTT